CGCAATATCACAGAATTCCGTAAAACTTAAGGCCTGCACATTTTTAAACGGTCCCTCACATGTTCTTAGCCAGTCAAAACGCCCCTTTCAAGTCAAGATGTCGATAGATTTGAAAACGGTAAAAAGAAAGGAAATCTTTCTTTTTCTTCTGCACGTTGATTGCTGTACTTTATTTATTACTATGATAAGGGACCTAACTCTCACGTGATACCGTATGTCGCACCACAACGCTTTACAGCAAACTGAGTTCGTAGTTATAAGACCATGTGAACGTACATGATTATCGTCTGAAATGTCATCTCGACGGGAAAAATTGCTGTTTTTAACAATAAATAATAAATAGATATTTTCTTTGGTTCGTATTCTTTTTTAATCTAATTTGACAACAAGGTTTTAGTTAAACAATATAATGGTAAATTGGGATCTGTAAATCTGCGTCCGAATATAGAAAATACTCACAACAACCTCTACTGACAGCCTTTCTGTGTTTCCATTCAGGAAACCTCACATGCACACAGCTCCACCAGTTTCACTTATATTACATGTAACTAGACCTAGGCCTATTCGCGAAAGATTTGAAAATACACAAGTGTCTGGCAAAATATTTATCATAATAAGCAAACCACTGATTAATAAGTATTTTTTATTTATTTAAACATATACTTATTTACTATTTTCATGTGTCTCTTGATTTTTTGCTATTACGTCATCGATGCTTACTACATAACCGAGTATTGATAATTTGAAGTCGATTTGGTAATGCTATCCACACAAATGGTTTAGTGTATATATTTTTTTAAATGTCGATATAAATGATTAATTATTGTTTGAAATTATTTAAATTATATGATTACAAGCAGATTTCTATTGTAGGATTTGCCAGAACGCCTCTTGCAATTATACCAATGAAAGTTCCATCGAAACGACTGTTTAAATAACGCGTTCGTTATTCGTACAAGACATCAGACTTTGTAGCTGAAAGGTCGGAAGACTGTAATAATGAGCGTAAAACCCGACAAATAAAAGATGATAAATCGTAGCTTTACGATAAATCATTCTAATTACCAGCTCGCAAACAACTAGAAATTAGGACTCTCAGTGTAAGGTGACGAAAATAGAGTTATGTCCCCTTTGATGTAATGAGCGAGCTTAAAATAAGTTGTATACGCTTCAAGTTAAGACAATTCAGATAAATCATGTGAATTAAATTTGAGCACTAAATTCACCTTAAATTCAAATATCATAGCAGGTTACAAGTAATATGGGTTTGTACATCGTGGCAAAACATCTACACCTACCGATCTCCCATTATAAGCTACAATGTACTATGCAACTCTACTCGCGATTTCGAAACAGCTCGAACTCGAAAGACTTTCAAACAGGAGAAAAGTAAACAAAATGAAAATGGTATAACTCCAGATTTTCTAAACTTAATTCGAACCAATACAATAAATCAGAATGTTCAATAATCTTCAAGAAATATGAACGATTTCTTTATACAATATCTCTGATTTTCTTCTACTGAGTTACTTTTCTTTCTTTTCGCTGCGCTCTTGGAATAATCTCAATTTAGCTAAAAGGTCACCAGGAATAACTCACAGAAGATCTCAAAGCGCTATCTCACGATTTCCAAATACATCCACCTAGTTATTTTGGAAATGGTGATCTTAAAGTAAATAACATTAATACAACATTGTGATACAACTATACGCGGACTTAAGTCTATGGATTCAATATTGTCGACAGTACTGCCTTTATCTGTGAATATCCTTGTGAAAATATTTCTCCTTAGAATTGGAATCGCCTAATTAAAGACATCAGAGGCTGAAACTGTTTGAATGTAGGTAATGAAATAAAATAAGGTCTATTAATAGCTGGCAATTCTCTCTCTTGTCAATGCAAAATAATCTGTTTTTTTTTTTTTAATTTTATTTATTCAAGTCAGATGAAATGATCAATGAATGTTCTACATGTATAGGGTCTACATAACATTTAGCCCACAATCACACAAATATAGTCGTGCTACGATCATCGTTATCAGCATGATCACACACCAGTATCAGCATCACCACATCACTTCAGTCATCATTCGGTTAACTTTAATTATCGACTCATTAAATATACGTTATCATAATCGACAATATTGTAACGATCGTTTACCTTATCCCCTAAAGACATTGTAGGTATACTCGAGAGAAATAATAAAAAGCAAGTTAACTTAATTATCATGAAACCACTACACCACTAAAGATAAATATTCCTTTATTTGTACAGACACATAAACAAAAACAAGTGTTGTTTTCTTTGCATTTATTTAATGGAGAGAGAGAGAGAGAGAGAGAGAGAGAGAGAGAGAGAGAGAGAGAGAGAGAGAGAGAGAGAGAGAGCTTTGTAAATAGTATAAACAGGGTATCAATCAAGAATAGGCATACACACTATTTTAATATTTATCTGTTTGAGAAAGAGAAACTGTCAAGGCCAGGGAAAAATTATAAACAAGAGCATGTGTAAGGGAAATGTGTTTTTACAGAAGTAATATGTTATTCCATTTTATCCATTCTTCATCGAATCTTTCTTAATAGGTCTCTCCCTTTGCTGTAGCAATATATCTTTTAACCTTATAACGATCATTAATTACATTTATCAATGCGTTTATGTCAAGAGAATTCTTAAAACATCTAGAATTATAAATGTATTGTTTAATGATAATGTTAATCTCATTATCAATTTTGCTAAACACATTCTTCAGTGACCTGAAACCAAAACTAAAGGACTCTTTGTTGATATTAAATGGGATAAGTAGTGATTCTAAGAGAATTTCTAAGATTTGTAAAAGATTCTGGACTTTTTCACATTCCCACAGACTATGTGTTACAGTTTCTATCTCAGATAAACAGAAAGTACATATTTGACCATCAACAATGTTTGCCTTGTACAAAAATGAATTTGTAGTCAAAATGTAATGTAGAACTATATACTGAAACCACTGAAGTTTAGAATTATTAGTAACATTAAATGGTAACGAGAAAATACTTGTCCATGTGGAATCTTCGAAATTAAACTGTTCAGCCCATTTCTTTCTGCCTGAATGATATTTATCCAAGTCAAAATTCTTCTTGATGGTGTTTAAGATTACTTGGAATCTAAGGAAATTTGTGACTATACCATACTTTCAAAAATTCATTAAAAGAATAGAAAGCGATTTATTCAGAATCTTTGAACATATCATTTATTACTCTAACATCTTTTGAGAACCAATCTTTATTGAAAACAGAATGCCCACCAATAATCACACTTGAGTTGTACCAGAGAAGGCGTTTCACATGAGAGAGTTGTCTACCTTCAACCTTAGAATAAGCCATATTTATAAGTAATTTTTCCTATGCGTAAAAAACATCGCTCCAAAACTTATTTTTACATTTTCCTGACAATTTTTGATATGATAATTTCCACAGGTTACTGCAAGATCAACATTGATAAGTTTTAGAAATGAAATTTTCAACTAACTTGTAGATGGACTTAAGAAGAATTTCCTAATTCAACCTTGTTTCAATGCATTCTTGAAATCTGAAATATTTATCATCTTTAAACCTCCCTCAAAATAATTTTTGATTAAAATATTGCCTTTTATTTGATCAGTTTTTCCATTCCAAAAAAGTTGAAGAAGAATTGTGTTTAAATGATAAATGAAATTAGTTCTGGATACTAGATTTGGAAGGACAATAGATAAATGATTGAATTGTGAGATTAAAAGTGACTTAATATGTATCTTTCCAATTGGAGACGGTAATTTTCTACTCCAAGTCTTGATAAGAGATTTTAGCCACTGTGAATTCAGTTCTAATAAAAAAGTGTCTGTACAATATTTCTTACTACCAATCCAAATTACCTGTGTTTTGCTAGTATTCATTTTCAGACCAGAAATATTTGCAAACTGGTTAAGCTCATTTTAAGATTCATGTGAAGAAGAGTTATTAGCATACTGATACAGAAATACTGGAAAATCACCCACAGATATTCCATTTATATTTTTGTTTTCTATTATTCCAATTGCTAAAATTTCAAAGTTTCACTTTGAAGAAATTTGACAAGCCACCCCCCACTCCTTGATTAATGGACGAACTCTCATTTTAGTGCAGAGGTTTGACCCATTTCCTACAAATTAAGTGTTTTATCAATAAATTCCTATGAAACTGAATCAAATGCTTTCTCAAAGTCAATGATCAAGAGCATTTCCTGGGCGTAATTTTCTTCAGTAAAATCCATAATATTATAAATAAGCCTAGGTTTTCACCTACGTAACGCCTCGATAAATAAACCTGTTTGGTCATTGTCTATTACAGGGGGTTGGGGGTTGGATTTTGGAAGCAATACACAAAATGTGAACGCACAAATTGTGTGTCAAAGGTTTTACGTGTAATAGATTTTTGTTATTATAAGATGCATACTTACGTTTGTTGTACCAAAAACTACTACTAGTACATATTCCCATGGCAAAAACGTATTACTAGTGGCATGCTTTTGTCAATACGTTTTCGGTCTTCGTTGATTTCAAATAAAATAGCAACTTCATCCACCATAACAATGTAAGATTTAAAGAGGAACCTGAATGCTTTGTCATATATGTGTCATTAAATCAAATAGCCTTTGCTTGTTCATTTTCCGCAAAAATCGTCGAAAACGATCCACGCGTTCCAAAGTTATTGTCGAAAACGCTAAAAACACACCTGAACGAGATCATCGAACGCCACTGTAACAGAGCTCTTCAGTAGTGACGTCACTAGAGTAAGCGCGCGTTCTGTCTCACTCCGGCAGCCATTAGTTTTCTAGCAGAAGCCAGGTTATATCGTTTCGTTTTTTTGGCCTACTTGAATGTTATTCGACTGATTTATACTATAATTGATGGTAAACTAACAGTAGTGTCATCATCTATGGAATGTTTTACTTAGGTTTCAAATATTTGTGAGCGTTCGTGGATTTTTCTGTCAATTATTGTGACCATGGGTGACCCGTCGCCGACTGCCGGACGTTCAGGAAAAAGATATGTTGTTTTCGGTTGCAGCAACACCAACAAATATGGAGTTTCCCTTCATTTCTTTCCATTGAAGAACAATGATGTTTGTAGAAAGTGGACTTCATTTGTAACATCGAAAAGGAAGAACTGGGCCGGAGCCACCAAACATTCAGTAATTTGTTCGAAACATTTCGACGAGTCCTGTTACCCGGCGAAGTATAAGATCATGGAAAGTTTATGCCAGTCAGTCCGAAGAAAGGACCTGCTTCCAGATGCTGTTCCATCTATACACGCTTCAGAACCAAGCCCGATGTCTAATATTACAGAGACGCCACCACCGCCAAAGACACAAAGAATGGCTTTTACTAAGAGAGAAAATGCTAGGGTATGTACAATCTAGTAATGACGTGCGTATTGGTATTTTTATACTTTTGTTAAAAATTCAGACAACTAGAATTCTAGTCAATGTTTCATTGGTCTATATTACACATATGTATAATGGTGCCCCAACTTTCTATACTGGGAAGAGAATCAAATATACAACATGTGCATTTAAAGTGAAGGTATTATACCAGTAGAGTATACAATGTAGCTAGTATATGCCAGTCACACCTATTTGTCTCAAATTTGAATTATGATATGAAATTTTAAAAGTCATTATTATTTTGATTTTGATCATTTGTTTTCACCTCCGGATACTGTCACAGCATTTCCAAGCAACAGAACTGGTGGAGATTGACCATGATGTTGACAATGGTTCGAAAAATACCATGGTGTGCGGTATGGAGAGTGACAACTCAACACCACATGTAAGAATTTGAGGATAAACAATTCAAAGTGCAATGAGTTCATGGAAAGGAAACATCTGACAATTTATTTTAGCACATAGAATCTAAATGGTATTAATAGAGTTTGTAACTATGTCCTAGTTTTTAGCATCCATTCCGTAGAAGTTAGAACCAGATCCAGCTTTGTTGGATATATTTTGATATTGATAACAGATCAGAGTTCATAAAGAAGTATTTGAAAAGTGCTTTATTATAACAGTCTTATACCTAGATTAAAAATAAGTTTGTTTCCTTAAAAGTTGAAAAACTAGTATTTTTTCTTGATATTACGGAGTCTGATATAGGCAGACAACAGAGAGGCATGGGGCAGAAGGGATACTTATGTAACAGGGTTTTCATGTGTTTTATTGAAGTTTGTGTATTTTAACGGTTTTTTTTAGACACCATCAGGATCAACAACAGCTTTAACAAGAACCTATGGTTGCCAAGTAGGTTTAAAGAAGCCAGCAAGAAGGTCAAAGAAAATACAAACAAGTTTTAAAACTCATAACCAAGGTACAGTGATTAATCAAAATTATGCATCAGAAATTGATATTGTAGTTAAATTTATGCAGATGTATTAACAGTTCATCATATTGTAATGAAGACAGTTCTGTTTGATTTGCGAAAAGGAAGATAAATATACACTCAATCCTCTGAGTTAAAATTGCAATTATAATATCTTGTTCACAAAACAAATGATTTGTGTTGGGTGTTTGACGGAGTCCCCCCCACATTTTTTGCAATTTTTTAATGAATTTGTTTTCCAGTACACTTCCGAGTTTCGTTAGTAATACACACTTCCGGAAATTTCACCCATCTTGAATCCTGATGTTAGTATTATGACCTTGTTTCCGGTGCTTATGTAAACTGGTACAACTTTTTCTTCAAACTTTTTTTTAATTCTGGCATCTGCATTATGGATGGCGGATTGTTAAATAGTTACACTTTACTACTACTCTCTGCTCCAAAGGAACAGGTGCAGCCCAATGTTACGTTGCTGTAAAGGTGTTAAATAGGAGAAAGTTATCATATTCAGAGCTCAGAAAAAAAGTGTTTTCATTCTCTTAGTTTGTTACACCACTTTTATCAGTTTTCTTTATTGTAGTATGTCAGACGACATCCAATGAATGCAAGTCTGTGGCCATCCAGTGTGATATTATAAAACCAGAACAAACGTCAAACACCAACATGTGCGAGGACCACAATTTTACTTTTGATCATGACGGCACAGAGGACAATGGAGATATGGATGACCATAGTCCCCAAGAAGACTTGTTTGACAGTTCATTTAATACGTCATTTTAGAGTGAAGCAGATGAAGATGTTGACTCTGATAGCAATATAGATGATGACAGGTGATTTTTTTACACAAAAATGCTGTTGTGTATTTTTTGCTTTAGAAAAAACTGTTACAAATCGTTTTTGCTCATGAATAATATACAGTAATTACAAAATGAGATACTACACACAAATCAAGCCATGGGAGATGTTTTCATTAATTGTTATGATCAATTGTAAAGTTAAATGATTGTTATTAAAGGTCACTAGACCTCTGTGTTAAAAAGGTATGTGGTATGTTAATGTTGTTTAATTCAAGGGTTATAATTAGTAACATTTTACCACATAATGGTACATGTACATCTTCATCTATATCACTTTCTTTATCCCACCACCACTTTTTGGATCTCTTGTGGTATTACTAAGGCTAAATTATTACTCAGTGCAAGTGCCTTTCGTTGGCCTGGCAAATTATGACAAAATACACTGCCCAAACCAAGAATTTAAAGTAAAATGATTTTTTTCAGGAATGATGAAAGAGACAGAAAATTTTTGGTTTACGAATCAGAACTCCTAAAATTATTTTCAGCATGCCCAAGATGTTCCAGCCCAACATTTGGACATATTCAACAGCTGCGCGGTACAGCAGTGAAATTCTACAGGACTGTGGTTTTTGTTCCTATACCAATGTTTGGAAGAGCCAACCAATGATCGGGTCAATACCAGCCGGAAACTTATTGCTTTCATGTGCAATTCTGTTTTCTGGGTCGCTTCCAAGCAAATCACTGCGGATGTTCAACTTTATGAATATGGCCACAATATCTTGCGATATATTTTTGCAACATCAGAGGTATTTTCTTCAGCCAGCCATATATTGCAAGTTTGGAATGACCATCAGCAGTGTTATTTGGACAGTGTGATCCAAGAAAATAGGGAAATTGTATTGGGAGGAGATGGACGTGCAGATACCCCAGGCCACTCCGCAAAGTATGGCAGCTACACAATAATGGATTTAGATGAATCCAGAGAAGTCGATGTGCAATTGGTTCTGGTAGTTGTTTTTAGTTCACCTGTCAGCTGAAAGCTCTTGTTCTATTGCGATCATGTTTTGTTTTCCCATATGGAAAAAATGGGCCAGAAATGGCCCCTTGGGGGCCTACAATGGGCAAACAGAGGCCATGTGAACTTGCAAATGTGAAGTAAATCTGTCCATACATGTTACTAGAAAATCTGTGATTTGTTTTGTACTATTATCATGTGATTCCATCATGGGAGTGTAACGTAGACAGAAAAATCTCCACCTGAGGGTTGAGATTTTTTGTTCACTTTACAACCCCCACGATTGATTTTTTCTCCCACACTCATGATGCTGAAAACCTTGTTTCAGTGTTGGTAAAATAAATTTTTTGTGTGAATGAAATTGTGATGTCATTTGGCAGTTTTTGTGACATCATAGCATGTTTAAGCTGTCTTTTCCCTAGTGGCTGTAAAACAGCTTTGTCTATTCAAAAGTAAATCCTTTTGGAAGTGTTGGGAAAAATCAAATCAATCCCTTGCCTTTACATTCAATTCATTTATCACACATTTTATTTTTAGAGTAACTAAGTCAAAAGTATCTACCACATGGAAAAAGAAGGGTTGATCAGAAGTGTGAAGACCTTCAGTGATGCAGGAATTACTATACAGAAGATTTTTACAGATCGTCATGTACAAATTTTGAAATGGGTCAGGGAAAATATGCCTAAAACAAAACACTGTGTAGATATCTTGCATGTAGCAAAGGGTAAGTTTTCAACAAAAAATGTTTTTCATATGTATTTCATATAACACTCTCGGTTGTTGAAGTACTCATATTCTAAGTGTAATTTAAGTTTGATATGCAAGTCATTTTTAGATAGTTAAAATTGTTTATGAAGACCCAAGTTTAGATGAAAACTGTCCTTTATAGACAGTTGTCCTTAGTATAGAGGTCAGTTACATTGCAAACTGCATCGAATGGGTTTAATCAATCTGTCCATCATACAAAGGTTTGCTCCAAAACAGGTTTGACTGTAGACAACCTGGTGTTTCCGTCGACTGTAAATAAAGGGGGATAACTCTATTGGTATTCGCACTTAAACCAAATAAAGCCACCTTTTGATGTAGACTTTTAAACATCCCACTGACCAGGATATTGAGGTTTTGTACCAAGTACACGCATATCAATATCTGAAACCGCTACATCCACCAAATCATTGAAAGGAACGAACTGAAATTTCAGGAGAAAATGTCAATCCGAAAAATAAAAGGAAACAGGAGAAACGTTGCCGATGTAATGTAAAAACAACATTCCAACAGCTCTACCTTAAAAAAAATATATTCGGAAACCATTTCGTCGTACACGAATGCTTATGTTAGAGAACCACTCCAGTGTACGCTGTTGCAGGTATCATGCAAGAGTACGAGTTGAAAGTACCAGGACACTTGTGACGGAGACAACCACTTAACTGTATAGTGTTAATGATTTCAGATAACAGCTCCGTTGTACATTGTTACTTATGTCAGAGAACAAATCCGCTGTACATTGCTACTTATGTCAGAGACATTCCACTGTACACCGATTCTTATGTCAGGGAACCACTCCACTGTACAGAGTGATTTGCTTCGGATAAGCACACGTTTTTATGCCTTCCACTGTACACCGATACTCATGTCACAGAACCACTCCACTGTACAGGGGGATTTGCTTCGGATAAGCACACCTTTTAATGCCTTCCACTGTACACCGATACTTATATCACAGAACCACTCCACTGTACAGGGGGATTTGCTTCGGATAAGCACACGTTTTTATGTCTTCCACTGTACACCGATACTCATGTCACAGAACCACTCCACTGTGCAGAGTGATTTGCTTCGGATAAGCACACCTTTTCATGCCTTTCCAATGTACACTGATATTTATGTCAGATAGAAACTCCACTTTAGGACCACTTTAATGTTCATTAATATCCTTATCAATAAATATGGTGCATGTAATTGCCATCTACTTTTCATGTTGCCATGATAATTCATCGTAACAAATTGCCATATCAACACGACATGTCATACATAATATCGTGTTAATTCGTCGAATCGAGTCGACTTGGAGTGATGAATTTCGCGATAAATTTATCTTTCAGTTACAAGGCTAAAAAATATATATCTAAGGCCCTGAGATATATCTAAACTTATTTAGGCTCTCGAAATAACGTATCAGTCTATTTTTTAGAGAAAAGTTCAGTTTTAATGCATTATTACTCATTTTGTTGCGATAGATTATCATGGCAACACGACACGTAGATTGCTATCATAGAGAACGAATCTACCGTACAATGTCACTTATCTCAGAGATTCCTCCGATCAACAGAGAATTTCACACTGTACAATGTTATCTCAGGGACCGACTCCACTGTACAATGTTAGTTATCTCAGAGACCGACTCCACTGTAAACTGTTGTGATATATCCACGATACATCAGAGAACCACTCAACTGAAGGACAATTCCACAGTACAATGTTACTTATCTCAGAGACCGATTCCTCAGTACAATGTTAGTTATCTCAGAGACCGATTCCATTGTACAATGTTAGTTATCTCAGAGACCGATTCCACTGTACAATGTTAGTTATCTCAGAGACCGATTCCACTGTACAATGTTAGTTATCTCAGAGACCGACTCCACTGTACAATGTTACTTATCTCAGGGACCGACTCCACTGTACCTTGGTACCTATATAATAGAACGATTTCACTGTCTATTGTTTACAATTACACTTACGTCAGAAAAGCACTCCACTTTATTACATTACTCAAATAGGACATATCAGATCTTTTTTTACAATGTTACTTATTTAGAAGACGTGGATGGGAGACATTGTGATTTGGTATGACTTTATACAGCTCTGGTAGCTCTATAACTGATCATTTTACTGTTTTATTGCAGAATATGATCACACAAACAACACCCTGAAATCTGATAGTTAATGTGACAGTAATATATTGGTGATGTTGTCAAATAAAGATCGGGGCTCGCCAAACATCAAACTCGTTGCTGGTAGTTATTTTGGTAAAATTTACAATAACTTATATAAAAAATAACGTATGAATTTTGTGCGATCAGAAATTATCTTATTCATTTAACGTCCATGTTTGATGATCTGAATATACATGATGTCTACACCTTAATGGGATATGTTTTGTGTGTGTCTTCATATAAAAATAGCAATGTAAACCACGATAAGAACTAATTACAGTAGTTATCTCCCTTAGGACTTTTTTAATGGAGGCGATTTGAGACAAGTACATGATATAATTAGGGATACGGTGTAAACAACTTGATATGTCAGCAAATATGAAACTTTTGTTTGTTGCTCTTCATCTATCTCAACATTATCATAACGTCGTCCATTACATGTAAGTGTCCTGATTTTGTTACGTAACGTTCCTATGAATGGGGATTAAAACCGTTTGACCCCCGTTAACGACGTAAGGGATCACTGACGAATATTCAATCACGTCTTTCCATTCATTCATTCATTCATTCATTCATTCATTCATTCATTCATTCTTTCTTTCTTTCTTTCTTCATTCAAACATATTTTTATGTTATTAAAAGCACACGAAAGGGATTGGGATTGGGTTCTTGCAACGTACTAGACCCTCTTCCAAGATTACAATACACGCGACGACACAGTCTCAAACATATGCTGGTACTTAATGTAAATTAGTCCGATGGTTCAGTATGTCATTTATCGTTTTATTTTCTCTTTTCAAATCCATATTCAATTGCTGTACTGTGTCCTTTGCGCCCGAAATCTCGCGATATATGGACGAGATCCAGCTAAGTTTCTACTTTTAGCTATAGGACTGAAGGTTGAAAGAAAAGCAATAACATGTCTGCAGTATGTTCCTCATTATCACGATTTCGTGAAGCTTTTCTTCCATTTTAAAAATGTTTTTCTTTTTTATGACAAGTAGTTAAT